TAAAGTGAACGTTTTTCCTGAACAACTTGAATACATTTAAATGCTTTGGAATAGAAGCCAGTTTATATGGTAGAAAAGACAGGAGTCTGAAACGGAACACATTTGTAAGTAGCATGTCACAGAAGACAAAATGAAACTGAGCTCCTTAACTTACTAATGAATAGTCTTTTAACTTGTTACAACTGAGTGAAGATCAATTTGATGGCAGGTACCAAAATCATAAACTCATGCTAATTACATTTCTGAGAACTTAGCCCAGGAAATCATTGTAACATATAGAAGAGACTTAATATGTAACCAAAAATTCTCCATGGGCTGGAGAGATGGCTCAGCGATTAAGAGCATTGCCTGCTCTTCCAAAGGTCCTGAGTTCAATTCCCAGCAACCACATGGTGGCTCACAACCATCTGTAATGAGGTCTGGTGCCCTCTTCTGGCCTGCAGGCATACATGTAGACAGAATATTGTATACAAAATAAATAAATATTTAAAAAAAATTCTTCAGACACTATCTTACACTGATGAGTAGCTAGGGAAGCCATAGGCAAGTGTGACTTACAATTGTTAGCACAACGTACAGTCTAGTTAACAAATGACAGGAACATATCAAATGAAACAATTATGAGTGTAGGGTTACATGGAACTCTTTAAAGCGCAAAGACATCTATCACCATTATGCTTTTCAAAAGGCACTAAAATACTAAAAGAAAGTATTTTAAATGTTTAAAAATGTTTTGACTAGGAAAAAGAAATTATGAGTAATTTTTTCTTTGTCTATTCCAAATTTCTTTTTCTTATAGAAAACAAGCAACAATGTAGTTTAAACTTCTAAAGGTCGGCATTTAAGGAATCCTCAGCAACATGAACTGCTTTCAGTTTCTATTATTCCCAATTAAAACCCTCATTTCTAACTTTTCGACTTGGTCTTTGCCTATTTCCCAAAGCAGTTTTACAAAAGCTGCTCTCCCCAGTGCAGCATCCCCTTGCTCTGCTGGCTGTCCTTCTAAATCTTCAGCCCTCTAGCATTTCCAAAGCTCACCCCAAATTTCCCAGCCACAGTAGCCCTGCTCTTCCTGACACCCACAGCACCAGTCTACTTATTTATCTAGCACTCTGAGACATCTTCCCAGAATTCCTTAGAGGAACACTTGAAACTCATATTCTCTGCCCAAGCAGCCAACTTTCCTATCTGGAGGAGACAAAAGGAATATAATATATTTAAAGGGCTCAGTCATAAAGCCATTCTAGAAGGAACTGTTGACGCTACAGAGGAGAAGACGGCTTGAATGCCCGCAATGAAGGGTCATATCTGGATTATAACAACTAAACACACACTGGATCGCCTCATAAACCTTTCATATGCAATTGTACATGTACTTGGTTTTAAATTTCTTTCATCTGGGAGTTTTGTCTAATATAATTTAACCCCTTATTCTAACAGAAGAGGCAGGCAGACTCCCAGGAGTGAGGAAGGGAAAGCTACATAACATTTCAAAGAAGGACTAGAAGAACAAAAGACAAAAGAGACTGAGTAGGATACTCAAGTGTACATCTTCACTTGCTTCAAATATTAACTCCTAAAGAAAACCATGATTACTCTTTAAGAAAAACAATGTTCAGAGACAGTCAATAACACTAAAGGTGGGTCAGCCCTGATAATTTCACAATTATTTCAAAAGGAAATAAAAACTCAAAAAAGAAACTTCAATTTCTTTTTTGTTCAAAGAAACACATGAGACCAGAAAGCATCAAAGGTAAGAGTATTAAAGAAAAAAAGACTCAAAACAGTGAGTTGCCCACATATTAAAGAAGTAAACAGAAAAGACAACCTTAATAAAATTACAATTCAATTAAATTTTTTAAAAGAACATGAATGTGTCTTATATATCTAGATGTCTGAGAGAACCCTTCTGTCCATCTTCTCCACCTATGATATGATAAATGTGCAGCTACTACATACAAAAATGACTGCCACTTACCCCATTATAACCAGGGTCAATACCTCCCATTTCTACTTTACAATCTTAATTTATGCACAAATAACTACTTTGTTTTCTATTAAATTCTGTTTTAATGCATTCTTTAAATACACTAGCTTGCATATTTAAAGACAAAGCATTTAAAGAGTCAATGCATATAAATTCATAGTTTATATGGACAATTATATAATGACCTCAGCATAAAATACTTCTGCTGATTTTTCTTCTTCTCACCTATTACTCCACACCTACTGAGATTAAAGCCAAAAATTAACATACACAAACCTTATTATTCTAGGCCTAAAATTCAGTGCTCATACCACTAACTTAAATACCTTAAAAGGGAATGATATATTTAAAGAAAAAAATATATGTTCCCTATGGGAACTTAAGAAACACAAATCTCATTCATTCACTGTCTAATAAAAATAGCTTTGCCAAGTTGAGTAATGGGTAATTTATATTGCTGACCTATTTTACTGGATCCAAATGAGTAGCAAAATTAGAATTATTTTTGTCTTCATACATTTTTGTCAACTATCTACCCAACAATGGTGAAGTAGTCATACAGATACCAAAATATAATTAAAACCAGCATTGTTTTATTAACAAACCTGTTTCTAAACTAGACTTTTAAGATGACACAACTTTAAAATTCCCTCTTTACTATCTTCACATTGGTGACACCACACTCAAATGTCACTTCAACTACTACGTTGAAGAAATGAAGAAGAAAAGATAACTGTCTTGGTGTAACCAAAAAATCCTAAAGATTAGGTTATTCTCAAGTTACATGAGAATACCAAGCAAAACATTCAGGTATGCAGAAGTAACCTGCTAAATTATTACAATACCACCTGCCTACACTAGCTCAAAGAAAGAACCTTCAAAAGATCTCTGTTAGAATGATGCTAAAATTCTCTGACAAGAGATGGGGGAAAGGAACACACACTTGTCATGAGAGTAATTCTATAAACCATAATAAAAGAGAGAAAACTCAACGCTATTCAACAAAGCAAAGAAGGAGAGATACCATTCTGTTCATTTCAGCTTTAAGTTTCTCCATTACTGATCTCCATAGACAGCTAACCATCCTGCACAACACAGGCACCACAACTTTTACAGTGTAAAGCTGGGCTCAGGACCAGTCAAATCACTGCTAAAATGACCAGAATTTGTCAATCAACTGATCTTTAAATAAAGCACACAGGTTTATAGTGTAAGGTCTGGCAAAGAAAAAATAAGAATAAGCCAGGCAGTGGTGGCACACACCTTTAATCCCAGCACTTGGGAGACAGAGGCAGGTGGATCTCTTTGAGTTCAATGCCAGCCTGATCTACAGGAGCTAGTGCCAGGACAGGCTCAAAAGCTACAGAGAAACTCCCGTCTTGAAAAACCAAAAAGAGAAAAGAGAGAGAGGAGAGAGAGAGAGAGAGAGAGAGAGAGAGAGAGAGAGAGAGAGAGAGAGAGAGAAAGAAAAAAAGAATAAAAATCTATTAAATAATACCTGTTCTCATAGGACAACTCAAATTTCCACTCTATCATTAAAGGTTACATTCTACCTCTGTCTTTTGGGATTTGGGAAGCATTTTGATCAGTTATAAACATCAAAACTTTCAAATAATAAAAATTTAGTAAGGAAACAATTTTAAGTTACCAAAAAGCCAAAGGACAGATATTCAAGACTGCATACCTTATCTACAAAAGAATACAACCAGAGTATAGCTTGATAAGACAGGCAGAGTTCAAGATGGCAGAATCCCTTTCTTGTTGAACTGAACTGAAAACACTAAAACCACCATCCATTTTGTTTTTATCCTGCACATGGTAGTAAAACAGAAGGGAAAGCCTCACACAGAAAGCTGAATGGCCCAAAGAAAACCTATGTGTTGACAAGAACCTAATGGCACATGCAGGTACGCATCTTTTATACTTGATGTGATACACTTACATGGCCCCTGTTGAATCTCTTGGGGACCAACAGTAAAGCAAGTTTAGAACTTCAAATCTTGAGACATCTATAGCAAGATGCTGATCCAATGTGGCTCCAAACATCTTCTGTTTTCCTGGCTCACCTGAAGAGGAAAAAACACTACAGAGGATGTGGGAACTGAATTTCTTTCTGTAGTTTTTTCTAGAGCAACTGTCTGAGATATTTGGCCCTGTCCTTGTGAAATCTGGAGATGAAACACTTGAAGGACTAGTGAAAAATAATTTCAAATGAAAAGATGGAGTGGAGAATATTTGAGCAAAAGCTACTCATTGTAGGCCAATCAGTGTTTCTAACCCACTAAGTGGGAGGAAATAGAAAAAAGAGAAAATGCAGTGTTTCTCCTCCACCTCCTCCCCCAGTTGTGACTGAAATTCATGGAGCACCTAACTTCTGACCACATGAGGGAGGCTGAGCATTTGGTTCAGTCTCATCCCTGGCTGTGCGACCTTGTTAAGCCGCAGGGAGGCCTTTTAGATAATACCCTTGTCTAAGAAAAGTTTCTGGTGGATATAAGTTGAAGAAATAATGAAAGAGAAAAATGCACTGAACTTATATAAAAATGAAAATCACAGTGATATACCCATACTGGCAAATTATATCTGATTCTGTTTTTCAAAAGATTTTGGACAGATTCCTTGAAATTAGAAACCAGAAACAAAGGGGAGAAGAAGCAATTTCCAAACAATAGAAAATGTTTTCAAGCCAAACACAACACGAGCTGCATGATTCATCTTTCTAGGAAACACTATTCCTAGAAAAATCACCTTTAAAAAGCTAAGATTAGTACAACCAAGTCTAGGAATATTATAACACAGAGAGCATTAAAACTGTTGCCAATAATATTGGTTAGATTCACTTTAATTAACTTCTAGAGTATTTTATTAAATCTTATATTATTCTGGTTATTCTCTATAGACAAAAAGCTTTTTCAAATGTATTCTAATATAATCAGAATTTATTTGAATTATGCTTGATAAAAATACCAGAATTTTCTGGAAAATATGATTAGCGGACAAATTAGCCCCTTACCTGACGTGGTTGTTCATTCATCCGTTGTGGGTCTGACTTCACTTTATTGTTGGGGTGGTTTGTGACTTTGGTGACTGGTTGCTTGAAAATTGATGCAGTTTGTCTAATTGGCAATGTTGTGTTCAAGTCTGGTTTACCCTGTAAATAGAAATGTTTTCATTAATACAATATGTAAAGAAAATTGTATCAATACCTTTTTAAACTCAACATCCATAATTTTAAAAAAATATATAACAATTATTCCAACTCTTGGTCTGTGTCAGTACTTTTTTGTTTGTTTGTTTGATTAATTTTCGAGACAGGGTTTCTCTATAGCTCTGGAGCCTGTTCTGGAACTAGCTCTTGTAGACCAGGCTGGCCTTGAACTCACAGAGATCCACCTACCTCTATCTCCGGAGTGCTGGGATTAAAGGAATGCACTTTGAATATTTTAAAGGTACACTTAAAGAAAAATACTTATTTTATGATGTGGGATTCCCCTTTGTATGCTGTGAATACCACTGGTTAATAAAGATGCTGCTTTGGGCCTATTGTAGCACAGAATAGGGCAAAGTAGAATTCCAACCAGATAGAGGAGAGAGTAGGCGGAGTCAGAGAGAGGCCATGTAGCCGCTGCAGAAGACAGATGCCAGACACCGGATGGAAACTTACCTTCCACAACCTTGTGGCGATATAAAGATTAATAGAAATGGGTTAATTTAAGATATAAGAGTTAGCCAGAAATATGCCTAAGATAGTAGGCCAAGCAGTGTTTTAATTAATACAGTTTCTGTGTGGTTATTTTGGGTTTGGATGGCCAGGAAGCAAACAAGCAGCCTCCGCCAACAATTTTGTCTGTGTATGAGCCTGTGTGTATGTATGTGAACCATGTACATGCAGGAGCATGAAAAGGTCAGAAGCAATGTTAGGATGCCCTGGAATTGGAGTCACAAACAGTTATGAGCCCCTGTGTGGGTGCTGAGAACTCAACTCGGGTCCTCTGAAAGAGCAATATGGGTTCTTATCTGCTGAGTCATCCCTCCAGTTCCTCTAAAAGTTCATTTTAAGCCCTTTATTATGTATTTTTTTCATAATTAGGTATACTTTTAATTCTTTGTATAATATTAATTATCTAATTAGCAGAATACTAAGGACATTAATATATCTGAGAAAGAATAAGAACTTTAAAATAGCAATCAGGATAACAGTTATTTCTATATTCTAAGACTAGGACAAATACTAGCCTTAAATATTTAAGCATTAAAACCTAACTTGATTGACTAGCAATGAGACCAGACTTAACATAAAAAAATAACATTAAATTATTGATTCCAGTAAACAGAATTCATTCTAGAAAATGTTGATAAAATAAGACATGGCCAAATTAAAACATCAAAATTTAAGCACTGCTAATAAAAATGGAAATTTCACATGTGATCTCATACAACTGGGTGCAAACAAGCAAAGGTTCCCAGAAAGTGCATTAGCTTGCCCTCTGTACATGCAATTGGTGCATGTATATGAAAACCAACAGACTGCATTACCAACTTGGGTCTGACCACAATGTGAGACCTACCCACTTACATATGTGGAAGTCTAAAAAAAGTCTGGCGGAAGTATTCTGCATAAGGAATAACTGTCCTGTATTCCTGGTTAGTTTACTGAAACCATCTCTCACTACGTATGCCAGGCTTGAACAGAAACTCATTACAGAGCTCAGGCTGCTGTGACAAGCACGCAGCCAGCCTGACAGCCAGTCCTTAGTTCTGTTATGTGGCACACTTCTTGCTTTTGGGAAGACTTAAAATAAAAGCTTTGGAAAGCCATGTGACAGGTTATTCAAATTTGGATCATCCAGTAAATAAAATGTCAGACATGTTTTCGTAAGGTCAAACTGTAAAACAGAACTGCTCTTAACTTCATTTGCAAAACCCAATGAAATGATAACAAAAAGGACGGGACAAAAATTGTTGCTATTTTGATACTGACAAAGATGTAAAAAGTTGATGTCAAGAGTCCTCCTCTCTTTACCTTACTTTTATAGACTAGATGTCTCACTGAGCCTGACGCTTACCAATTTGACTAGACCGACTGGCCAGAAAGAGCCAGGGATCCTCCTGTCTGCCTCTCTAGCACTGGAGTTACAGGTGGGGAACAGGCTTGGTGCATTTTTGTAGGGTCTAGGGATGTGCATTTTTTAAAACTTCTGAAGTAATTCTGGGGTACATACAGGGAATCAAGCATTTCTGGCCAACAACATTTAGAACACCAAGGTCCTAAACAACAAAGTCATCCAACCTAAGGCCAATGTTCAGTCTTCAGAAATCCTAACCTAATTCTTAAGGATGACAACCTGCTGTCATTAAGATTATCAAATACATCACTAAACAATATCATGTTTGGTTAACATTTATGTTCTTTAAGAAAAAACATGCTTTGCTGGTACTAGATCAAATACAGCATGAGCAGATACAGAAGTAACTGCGACTGTTTGTATACACAAGCATATCCAAGTCGAGACTCATTCTAGAAAGGATAAAGCTGGGCCTACTCTTCACTATAACGAACTATGAATCTTAAATCCACAAAGACTGAAAGTATGGAATATTTGAAATTAGCAGTGTTAAAAATGCTAAGGTTGGCAGAATAGAGGTGGCACACACATTTAAACCGAGCACTCAAGAGGCAGGGGCAGTCAGATCTCTCTGAGTATGAGACCAGCCTGGTCTACAGAGTGAGTTCCAGGACACCGTTACAAAAAAAAAAAAAAAAAAACCCTAACAACCAAACAAAGGAAACAAACGCTAAGGTTGGTGAGTGAGTGAGTGTGTGTGTGTGTGTGTATGCTCTTGGACCAATAAAGAAAAATTAGAAGAACCTGCTAAAAAAATGTAAGATACATTGTTAGGTTCTACTGTCTAATTGAGATGGTTCACTCTGTTCTATCTTAAAGAACCCTAGCCTAATTCCTAAGGAAGACAACTGCACAGAGTAAGGCACTAAGAATGTACCTCATCATTCTTCTCTTGACTTCTCAAACATTTTTAAACACTTCTTTTGACTGACTAACATTTTTGACAATTTTGTATTTAAAACATTCTCTTGAGCAATCTGCAAAGTAGACTGACCAGCTTCCCAGAAGCTTACAGAACCAGTAAACTGCATTACCAGTCTCCCCTAAGTACTGCCAGAGTCACTTAATTCATGACCACCTGTTACCCAAGTTGTCCTAAACCACTGACACTCTGCCATAAGCTTTGACATTAAGAACAATCACCTTGGCTTGAAGCATGATTACAGCTGCTCACAAAATCAAAATCATCTCTTTAAATATAAAAAAGTAAAGTTCCTTTACATTACAAACTAAGCCAGCAAATTCACTGCAACATTGTGAACAGCCTAGCTCACAAACTTTAAAATTCTAAAAAGATGTCCCATTTCAATCTAGAAGTAATTGTGGTACTAAATAACACAACCAGCAAGCAGATTTCTTTTTTCTTTTACATTCAATGACCTTCCACAAAAGCCTGTAATGTAAGACTTAGGCAATAGCTGGGCAGTGGTGGCACACGCCTTTAATCCCAGCACTTAGGAGGCAGAGGCAGGTAGTTCTCTGTCAGTTGGAGGCCAGCCTGGTCTCCAAAGAGATTTTCAGAACAACCAGTGTTGTTACACAGAGAAACCGTCTCGAAAACAAAAACAACAAAAAGAGAAGTATGCAATAAAGGTGACTGTGGAGGGGATGGAACAATGGGGTCTCCATATCATGGAACACTTTAGTGAGCCACCCTGGTTACAGAGCGTGAGTGATGAAGAGGACTTCATAAACCAGTATCTCCTACTGTTCACAGCCTGACCCCCTTAGGACTGTAAGAATACATGCAGCTCACCGCACTGTGAAGATGACATCAGTTTGTACTTTACCTAATGTAGGTAATTACAAATGCAACTATCACAAGTTATCCTTAGTTACATTGTAACAAACTGATCGATTGCTATCAGCCCATACATGAGCCAACACGTCAGCAGCCTACATTTCATATACTCCTTTTCAATCAAATCTTCCATTTTAAAGTTATTTCCAATTTCATACTTGAACTTTACTGATATTTTATCAGTATTAGTATTAATAAACAATCAGTGTTTTATCCATATTGATACAGATATTTAGTGGGGTTTTTCCACTTCCCATTATCACATAAAGTTCTTAATTATGTTAAAAAAATAAACTCTCTGGTTTACCAAAGATGGTGTTTTATAATTTTAACATAATTACTAAACATGAATGATAACTTCAGATATGAAATACAGTTCAAAAGAAAGGGGTGGGGGATCTTCTGTTCCTCTTGCTATGGAAATAGATTCTTGCTATATTGCCTAAGATGGCCTCCCAACTCCTGCCCCACCTTCCCCAGTAACTGGATTATAGGCACACACAACCATGCCTGACCATACGTATTACAAAACAGCTTCATGTTCTTCGGTAAGTCTTACTAATTGCGAGCATCACTTCTGTTCTTATTCCCTTTTCAATAGATGAGGTGGCAGGGAAAAGTCACCTTATGTGACTCAGACCTTCCTGAAATTGCTTTTAAAAGAGTTTGTGCTATAATATCAGTGAACCAAAAAAAAAAAAAAACCCTTTAATAATCAGTAGACAGATACACAAAGTTCCCTGCATTTTATTAAAAGAACAGGATTTTATTTGTAGAAGAAGCTATCAAGACATTCACTTCTCAATATTCACTTCAAATATTCATTTCTCACCTCAATATTTTCAACTGCCCCTCTATGGAAAGTGCACCATTTAGAGCCACTGTAACACCGCAAACAAGGGAGCTGCCCTGGGTTTGACCTCCAACACCACGTCTTCAGACAGATATCATGTAAAACTTATATATCATATAGCACAGTGACTGAACTCTAAATATCACCTTCCTTGGCTAGATTTATTATTATTAAAGATTTGTTTCGTGTGTGCGAGTGTATTTGCCTGAATGTATATACATGCATCACATGGGTATAGTGTCCACAAAGGCCTGAGAGATCAGGTCTCCTTGTTGGTGCTGGGAACTGAACCCTGGTCCACTGCAAGGGCAAGAGGTTCTCTTAAACTTGGCGCCAACTCCAGCCTTGTCCGTTTTTTTAGAAAAGCTATA